ACTGTTGTATGCAGTAAACATTTACCAATTTCCTTACCTTTTCTCACACTATCCCTATCTCAGAAATACCTTCCCTCACCCACATTCACCTTCTGAAATCCTATCATTTCCTCAAGGTCCACCTCAACTATACAGGTAGCAAATTGTTTCCTTTCTCCTATTTTACATAGAATAGAATATAAGTTAAGAAGGATGTGCTGTCTTTGAATTACTTTATGTATGTGTATGTATGTATACATGTATGTGTATACATATATCAGCATGATATGTTTGTATTTGTTATAACTCCCTTGCTAGAATATAAATTCATTAGGGAAAGGGTCTTGTCTTAATTGGCTTAATACATCCCCTGAGGATCCAACAGTGCTTTTGAACAGAATGATTCGACTCAACAATTTATTAAGGACGTGCTGTGCAAAGCACCAAATGTTTAGTTAAGATATTTCCCAAATGGAGTCTATAGTCCACAAGAGGGATGGCAACAGTTAAATAAAACACAAGTAATTGCTTTATGAACAAATGAATGCAACACTATTAATAAAGATAACAATTTGTGGCACTAATTTGTTTTCATCTGTCTTAATGCCACAAAACGTATTTTTCCAAAACGGCTGTTCTTCTGGTATATTATCTTACACACACTAACCTATGAGCCCTCTCCCTCATCTGAGGTTTTCTATCACATGTTATAGAGAAGAGAAAGTCTCGAACTTTCTAGAAGAAGCAATAGGAACAAAGACCTGTAGTCAGTCTAAGAATGGCAAGACCAGTTAGAAGACACAGTCTGGTCCTCAACAAAAGTACAGGCTCTATACCAGTGGTAAAAGCTCTAATACTGGAACAGCAGGTAATACAACTTCAACTCAAACCAGCAGCATCAGAGGAGCCTGAAGTATCTTGGAGCTGTCTTACATGTTATGCGGTTAAGAACGTCCATTACTATAGAGAATTTCGTGACTAAAAAGCTTAGTTGTTTCTCCTAAAAAATTCTGTTATCAATATCTTCAAGCAAAAGGAAACACTGAAAAGCATTAAGTGATTACTATGTGCCAAATACTTCTTACATGTACTAATGAATTTATATTAAATGCTAAACTAAACTCAAACTGAATCCTGACAATGTATGAAGAACCTGCTTTTCAAGGGGTTTTTTGTTATTCAAAAAGAAACATTATGCATATTTGTCACCTTTATGAAATTTGTAAATCTGCCATTGCAAAACATACAAAGTATCTTGTGGCTAGAGTGGGACCTTGTTTTCAAAATATAGGAAATAAACTATTTCCATCAATCTATAAAAAGTGAGTATCAATAGTTCCATAGGAACCTCCAGTATCTTTTGTTCCTTCCCCTCCAATTTTTAGTGAAGATATGGAAAAAGCAATCAGCTTCAAAGACTCCAAAGAAGCATCCTCAGTCTACTCATCACATAAATACTTCAATCAAAGCAAGGGCCACCGTGAAAAAAACTAATACACATTTTTCACCTTGCTTTAGCAGAACAAGGAACCAAAGAGCTACTCACCATGTTCCAATGATCACTAAGCTGTTGAATTTTGCAAATTCAATTCTGAGAAAGATAGTAATACTCTAAATACTTACAACTTTCTGAACATCCAAACCCACTACCATCAGATCAATAAGTAGTGCAAAGGCTGGAGATAAAATACAAAACAGCCCTCAAAAGACTTTACATTCTATAAACTCTTGTGTGTGTATGCTCGCATGCATGCATGTGTGAGAGAACAAAAGAGCCTCCATGAACAAGGTAGCATTAAACTAAGTTTTGAAGGAAACTAGAGATTCTAAGAGGTGGTGGTGAGGCAGAAGTATACTCCAGGCAAAGGGGACAGCCTACTGCAAAATAATGGAGGTAGGAGAGGGAGTAGGGAGTGTTCTTTGTAAAGAACAGCTAGGACTACACAGGGAGCATGAAAGGGAATAATATATAAAAGTTAGAAAGGTAGGCTGCGGGAGGTTTGTGAATGGCTTTAAATGCCACAGGAGTTTGTAACTGACTTAAAGAGAATCTCTGGAGCCTCTTTATTTTACTGAGTTGAGGAATGACATGGTCAGAGGCAGGAATATCACTCTGGCAGCCGTATGGAGAGGGGAGAGACCTGATGCAGGAAGAGCAGTCAGGAGTCTACCACAACAGTTCAGGAAAGAAGTGATGAAAACCTTGTCTAAGGCGGTGACTATATAAGTAGAAAAAAGGGGACAGATGCAGGAGGCTTTGTAGAGCCCGAAATGACATGATGAAGAGACTGACAGGGTATATAGTATGAGAGCGAGGAGCTGAGGATAACACTAAGGTGAAGAACCTGGGAGAACGGAGGAACAGTGTTAACCTTGACAGAAATATTTTTGTATAAATGCTTCTGTATTTTTGTTCAGAAGAGAGGTAGGTGGATTTGGGTGAAAAATAATGAGCTTTGTTTTAAATGTGTTTAGTTTGAGATGTCCCCTCAGAAAAGTCTAATAGGCATCAGATGACCTGGAAGAGTAGCTTGGGAGAGAGCCTAAGGCTGCTGAGTATGTAGATCTGGGCATCTTCTGGAAGGAGACAGCCCAAAGCTATGACCTGGTCTCCTCTTCAGATTCTGCTAAAAAGTAAAGATAAGAAACAGCAAAGGCAAGTGTAGCCTGATGATACACAAAAGAAAAGATCAAAGGAGGACTTGATGGCTCATGCACATCACTATACAATTTTCAGGGTGAACCATGGGAGCATACCAACATAAAATCAGAGAATATTAGAGAAGGAAAGGACTCAGAGATCGATTATCTGTTCTCACACATATGTAAATATATGTTAAGCAGTTACCCAAGGTGGCAGAGAAAATTATATCGGTTCATACTGTTTCCCCATTTTCTACAAATATGAGAAATGTAGCATCCCTAAATAATTTCCCCTTAATGTCAACATCACACACATACACAAAAAAAGTAGAGTGAAAGACGTTTAGCACTGCTGAATGTTTTTAGAAATTACTACTTTCTATTGGTATAGCAGGCAAAGCACAGGTGGGAATCAGCCATGAACAAGGGGGTAGAAAAGTAAATCTAAGCAGTCACTTAAAGTAGATGAGCAGGGAAGAATACCAAACCCTGGAACTAGAAATTCCACAGATCGCAGCAAAAGGCGAAAAGGGTCAACCCCATCCTGGACTTCAATCCCCACCCCCACATAAAATACACTTTATTTAGGAGTAAAAAGCAAAGGTTAAGACGATATTGGGATAATTGTTTATTTAGAATTACGTTCTAGCTGACATTTTGAAAAGTATGTCAGGTTTTCAAAATAAACTAGATTAAAACTATAGGAATACTGTAAAGATGCAATCTGAATTACAGTAAGGATGTAACATAAGTGCCAGAGACAGTAAAACCAAAAACCACTGTCTACACCACAAAACCAATGACACCATTTTTTCTTCCTTAGAAGCAAAAGGGTGCTGAGATAAATAATCGAGTAGAATACAGCTCCCTCTGAATCTGAAGTCTCAGACTGACTCCTGCCTCAGCCACTTATTTACTTGTGACTGGGGCAAGTTGATGAGTCTTTCTGGGCCTGTCTTGCCCATCTGTAAAAGAAGGGGCAGGACTAGAATGATACACTCAAGGTCCCTTCCAACTCTTTCTTCAACAACGATCAAATGACTGAGGTTCTCTAAATGAAGGAGGACCAGTGTTCACAATCCTATGCTAGAGTCATTCACCAGACAGGGGATAAGATAGAGATTTTTGTAAATGGAAAACCATATCCATTTAATCAAGTGGATTTTACTTCACAAAATATGGAAAACCCATAAGCCACCATTTCCATTATATGACTGTTTACACCTTAGTTAATTCTTTTGAGGGCTTAAGCATGTTTAGAATCCTTAAAAAAACATTAAGGAGTTTCTTCTGAGGGCATCAAAATGCTTCACGGATACTTCATGGCAGCAAGTATTTAACCACCTTTTTAAGAAAACCAAACCATTGTGGGAACCGATCAAAGAGCCTGGCCCAAGATCTCAACCTGAGTCTTGGGTGCTAATCCAATACTCTGAGACAACATTATTCGTTATTAAAAAAGAGATAATATTTGTAAAGTGCTCAACACAGTGCAGAGCACGTAGTAGGCGTTTTTAAAAGGCTTGCTTTCTTCCCCTTTCTCCCTAAGCATGCATTCGCTCCTTATTAAAAAAAAATCAAGTGTTTCCTGCATGCCAGAGCAAAACGGAGAAGGGACCGGGCGCTGGGCTGGGTCAGAGACCCGGGGAGGAAAGGGCTCTGCTCCTTTCTACATGTGTGACCTTGGCCGTAGCCCCCCACCCCCCCCCGCCCCGGCCCCCTCCACCCCGACTCTGGGGAGGGGGTGCCGGAGATCAAAAGGAGCCTTCCCAAGCCAGTCCTCCGCAGGACACCCCGGGGAGGGACTAACGGTCTCGCTAATTGGCCCACGTGCAAAACCAACTCCACCGTGACCGTGAAGGGGGCGGGGGGCAGCCCAGGCCGGAGGCTCCCCGGCCTGCCTGGGCCTGAACTTCGGCTCCGCCGCTCGCCGGCCCTCGGAGACTGCCCGCCAGGCTCCGCGCCCCGGGGAGGCTTGGAAGGAGAGATTCCCCCGTACCCCGGGCGCTGACCCCGCCGCCCTCGGAGCCTGGACCTCCAACCAGGGGGAAGCGGCGGCTGCGGCCGCGCTGAGGACAAGCGGGCGCCTCACCCCCACCCCGGGCGCGGCAGGCCGCACTCCTCCGCCCGGGCCCGCCAGCCCTCAGCGCGGCCGCCGCCGCGCGCCGCCCCTCGCCGGGGAAAACTCCGGGTCCGGCTGCGGAGAGAGCTCAGGCCTCACAGCCTGCGCACCACGACGCGGCAGCGCCCCGCCCCCAACCTGGCCCGGCCTACCCCGCCAGCCCGAACCCCGGCTGCGAGCGCCCACCGCCTTCGCCTTCCCCCGCTGCCCGGGGACCCTCCCCCGCTCTGGCACACGAAGCCCCCTCGGAAATCACCTTTGAACTGGATTTCTGCGAGCCGCCTGGCGTTTTGTCCGCCATCTTGCGTCCTGCCCTTCCTCGGCGGCAGCAGCGGGAGCGAGTCGAGCGCCGACCGTGCGTGCGGATCGCCGTCAGGGGCCCGCCAGAGGCGTCGGCAGGGAGGAGAAGTCGATAGCCGAGGAAGCGAACCAAGACGGCGAGCTGCGAAAGGCACCTCACGCGCCCCCCCCCCCACCCCGGGCCGGGAAAGAGGAAGGCGCTCGGACGTCACGTGCCACCTGAGCCCGCCTTCCGGACGCCGATTGGCGCGCGGCTGGGATGAGGCGGGGCGAGGTGCGCGCGCCTCGGATGGACGCTGCGCAATGAGACTGGGACACGTCCCCTTCCTTCTGCGCCCCCCGCGGCGCTCCAGGAGTGAGGGCGGGCCGAGCTCGCGGCATGCGACCTCTAACTGCATCCTTGCACGGCATTCTCTAGGCTTTGAAGTTAAAGCGAATTAAAGCGACTGCCGAGAGGAAGGCGCCAGAAGAAGACTAAGGGTCTTTGACGTTACGGGCTTCTCGACGCTCCCCCGCCCCTTCCCAGGAAGCTGTTTGGTCCCGTGGATAATGGGCCGAGAGGCTCCGGAAGGCCTGAGTTCAAATCCTGCCCCCGATCACTTGAAAACTGCTTGACTTCTCTGAGCTTTGGTTCCCCCATCAGAAAAGTGGAGACAGTCACATTCTTCGCAGCAATTTTTGTATCATAGACTCCCTTGGCAGCCTGGTGAGCCACTCCCTTGTGAGAATAATATTTGGAAATGCTTCAAATAAAATATTCAGGATTGCAAAGGGAGCCATTTATGCTGAAGGACATTTATCAGAATATTGAGAGGGAAAACACAAGTTTATGAATGCCAGGCCAAGAGCCCTCGCCTCGATGGGTATCCTCCTAAGCAGATGACAGGTGTGAAGGGCTTTGCACCCCCTAAAAGTGATGTTAGATGTCAGCGATTACTTATGCAACAACCCCCCCCCGACCCCCCACACACACTAGCACGGCACACGAAGGTGCTTAGCAAATGCTTGTTCAGTTGAGATTCAGACCCCTTCTCTTCTCCCTCTACTCCGCTCGGCCGTCTCAGCTCCCCCAGAGGTTTCCTTACCTCGATGCTGACCTCCAGCCTCACATCTCCAGCTGCTTTGCAGACATCTGGAACTGCATGTCCAGGGGACACCTCCAAAATGGACCTTTGCTTTCCCCCAAACCCTCCTCTCTCCTACTTTTTCTAGTAACTTTGGACGTCAACACCACCCTCCTAGGTCCTCGGGCTCACAACCTAGGAGTCATCCCGGACCTTTCATCTCACCACACTGCACACCCACACACATCATTAAACTGTGGTCAAGACCAGAGGATTTCACTTTTTCACCCTCTCTCCAGGAAGCTCACACCATTTTAGACCTGGATTATTTGAATAGCCTGAAGGTGGGTCTGCCTATCTCAAGTCTCTCCCCACTCCAATCCATTCTCCATTCAGTTATCAATGTGATTTTCCTAATGTCACACACACACACACACACACACACACACACACACACACACACACACCCCAATTCTCTCTCTCTCTCTCTCCCCCTCCCTCTGTCTCTCTCTCTCCTCTGTCTCTCTCTCTCTTCCCCCCCCCACCCCATATCTCCATCCAATGACATTGGCCCCATTGCTGTTTCACAAACCAGACACTCCATCTTCTGGCTCCTGCCATTTTCTCTGGCTGTTCCAGATGCCCAGAATGCTCTCTCCCTATTCACCTCTGAATTCTGGCTTCCTGGGATTCCTTCAAGTCCCAGCTAAAATACCGCCTTCTACAGGAAGCCTTTCCCAATCCCTTTAATTCTTGTGCCTTCTTTCTGTTAACTATTTCCTGTTTATTCTGTATATAGCTTGTTTGTACATATTTGTTTGCTTATTGTCTCCGCTGTTAGATCATGAGCTCCTCCAAAGCAAGGATTGTATTTTGCCTTTCTTTGTATCCCCAGTGCTTAGCCCTGGGCCTGGCATATGATAAGTGTTTAATAAATGCTTATTGACCGACTGATCTAGGAGCTCATTTAGCCCTATTTTTATAGACAATAAAAACGTACTGTCCTCTTTCAGGTAAGTCACAACTTTCCTAGGTCTCATTTTCTTCCTCTGTAAAATCGGAATTTTGGACAAGATGACCTCTGAGGGCCCTTCTAGTGCTTTATCTAGGGCCCTAGGATTTTTCATAAAGTGCTTTCTTCACAACTTGTGAAAAAGGTATTGCTTTATTATCTCCATTTTATAGATGAAGAAACTGAGAAGTTAAGAGCCTTGTCCAAGATCATATAATCAATTAGTTGTTTGTTTTATTGGAGGAGGAGATGTTAATTGTACGAGAGAGAGAATTTAAATGCTTTTTGTTTGGGTAGACAACTCTACACCTACAGCCCTGAGACCAAGGATTCAGAAAACTCCCTAAATGGCCTCCTTTCTCATACCCTGAATAGAATGAAGTCATAGGATTCAGTGTTCAAAGAAACCTTCGAGAGATCCTCTCCTCTAATACCCTCATTTTGCATGTAAGGAAACTATACACTTCAGACTTTCTTCCAGGCTCCTAAACTGGAAACCAATAGAAGTCATTTTTTACTTTCTTCCTCTCATATCCAACCAAGCACCACACCCTGCCATTTGTTTTGTACCTAGAATTTGCTTCTTTTTTCTTTTCATTCCTACTGTTAACCCCCTAGAAGAGGTCTTATCTCCCTACTTGGTCTGAATATTTACAACATCCTCATAGCTCAACTCAATGATTTCTCCCTCTGGCAGTAATCCTGTATAACATTGTCAAACATCTTCCTATTGCTTATATCATATCTGCCTACTCAGTGGCTCCCTATTACCAATTCTATTAAGTCCAAACCCCTCTGCTTTGTCTCCAAGGCCTTTATGATATGGAAAGCTACCTGCTCCCACCCCAATTAACCAGCCTTATTTCCCACTATTTCACACAGGCTCATACTTATTTCACCTTTATGCCTTGTATCCCCTGATGCCACATCTTTTGTCTCAATTCTTACCTGGCCCTTAGTCATTGAATGGGTGATGCCTCAGACAAACTGAGACCTTGGAAAGACCTTATTTAGAAAGGCCATGGTCTCCCACTGCATCCTGAGCCATCACCAGTCATACTGACCTGTGTCTTGCCAGTGAACTTCGATGACTCTGGAGGAGAGACTGAGGCTGATGACTTTGCACAGCTCTGCCTCACTTAAATCCAATTCAATTGAAAGTCAAAACATACCGTCATAAGATCATTGATCCCTTTGAGAATGAAGGACAAACAGCAACCACAACATCTCTCTCTCTCTCTCTGTGACACACACACGGCCTAGATTGGACTACCAAACAGCTAAGGTCTCCTCAGAGTCAACCCCTATGGCCCAGGACTGAGTCTCCTCCATGCTTCATTCTCAACAAATTCCTTCCCAGGAGCTACTTCTCCCTAGGCAGATCCTAGACCAGGATATTCAACTGCTCCCTGCCCCTGGCTTGGAAGGCAGACTTCCCCAGGTGTGACAGCCCAATTGAAGTTGGAATGGGAAAGATCCATGGTGTGGGTGATGATGGTGCAGAGGATAAGAAAGGGCGCCACAAAGAAGAGCTCTCAGTCCCTACACTCAGGAGTCTGAAGGCAGGAGGAAGGAGGCAGCATTAGAATAACTAGTGGTATTAATGGCTAACATGTCAGTGGCAATTTATAGTTAGAAAGCCACATCATACATTCCATCTAGGTTGTTCCTCACAAAAACCACGTATCATATGTAGTACCAGCAATTGGATTTCAATTCAACCAACATTTAATTGACTACTATGTTCAAGGCCTTGGAATAATACTTAAAATCATAATCACATAGCACTTTCTCTTCTGTAAAATGGAGATAATAATAACACCTACCTCAAAGGGCAGCTAGGTTGCACAGTGGATTGAGCACCTGCTCTGGAGTCAGGAAGACCTGAGTTCAGATCAGGCCTTGGACACTTACTAACTTTGTGACCCTGCCCAAGTCACTTATCCTGCTATGTCTCAGTTTTTTCATCTGTAAAATGAGCTGGAGAAGGAAATGGCAAACCACTCCAGTATCTTTGCCAAAAAAGCCCAAACAGGGTCATAAAGAGTCAGACACAACTGAAAACAACTAAACAACAAAACCTCACAGGGTTGTGGTGAGATTATATATGTAATATATCTATGCACAAAATACTGTCAAATGAGATAATAATAATAGCAGCCAACATGTATATAGCACTTACTGTATGACAGGCACTGTCCTAAGCACTTTACAATTATTACCTTGCAAACCTTAATCTTTACATAAATGCTATTATTATATCATCACCATCCTTGTTATTATTACTTATTTATAGTGTATTTTACTTAACTCACTTGATCTTCATGATGGCCCAATGAGTTAGACAATTATTATCCCCATTTTACAGATAAGGAAAATGAAGATGAAATCCTGAGAGGTGGAGAGTCACCCAAGTATATACAGCTAATTAGTGGCAAGATAAGCCTCAAGTCCAGGCCTTTTGATGCTGGTGCAATCCTCTTTTCAGCAGGCCATGCTATTTGTTAGGAAGGCAGGGTCCCAGGTTCCAGGTTCTGCTCCTACTGCTGGAAAAGGAGTTGGTAATATAGCCTTACATATGTAATATAGTCTTACATGTGCAGGCCACTAGTAGCCATAGCTAGCCCAGTCCCCAAAGTGATTGTATGCCTGTCCAATAATGCCCAGCCATCCAAAAAGTCTGATCAGGTTCACCATTATGACTAGTCTGTCTCCAAGGTATAGCATGATATCCTAGACAACAGGTAACCCCACTCCAATCAACAAGGCATCTCCCAACTTGCTTTGGGACACCTGAAATTCCTTTGACAAGAAAAATAGAGTTTCATACCATGGTTGAAAGGCTTAAGTTGTTTTTTCTAACAGAGACAAAGTGAAACATTACCCTTGAAGGATCATCAGTCAATCATTCAATAAGTATAAATGACCGATCCTTTCTGGGTTTTTAGAGGGAAGTAA